CCCCAAAACCCCAAAACCCCAAAACCCCAAAACCCCGAGAGTGCTTTCAAGATTGATGGGACTTAAATAAAATAAATTTAATCTTCATAAGATTTCTCTTCTTCAAGTATTACTATAAATTAGTTAAATTTGGATAATAATCAAAATGAGAAACATTAAAAAATAATAAGGAGATACCAAGGACTTCAGAATACTTCGAAGATGGAGATTAAAATGGCAGAAATTAATAAAAATTTACAAAGGCCAATATTGTCTCTAATAAATCAAGACCTATATCTCACCTAATTTTTTCTTATTGTTCTTTTTCAAATCTGTTTTTGTCCAAGTTTTCCCCTTCTTCCTCCTAAACAATTAGCTTATTGTTACCTCTTTGGATACACTCTTTTCTTAAAAACCTTCAATTTGCCTTTGCGTTTTTTATTCTGTGATTTCTTTTTGCTCACTTTACTTGTTGTAGATTTTATTATTGGAATATCTATTTTTGCCTTGCACAAGATTCCACCAAGAGTATTGACAAGGCAGATGAACTTCTGATTCTTCCATTCTAGTGCTACCATCAGGAAATAAGCCCAGTTAAGCAAGAAATAGCCGTTAACAACAGTTATTAAGGCCAAGGCCATCAGTTCGAATCCTTCATGAATGTCCTGACCGACTGCTAAAATAAACCCAGAGTAGATAGTCACGATGCCTGTTTCTAATGCGAGCAAATCGATTTGGTTATTCTCTTTAGTTTTGAATGGTTGCATGTACTTCTGGAAGTAAAAAAATCCTACCAAACAAACTATAGGGCATAAAGAGAGTTAGACTTACTGACAGACAGAGCTATTTGGTAATTCACTGAGGAAGTGTTCAGCAATGAGTGGATTGATAGCAGCAAGAACTTCTTGAAAGAGTTTAAGAACTCCCAATAAAATCACTCGGACCTAAACCCTTGGTATAATATTAGAAAGTAGCTTTGTATCTTCACTTCATTCAGACTCTCTCTGTTCTTAATGAGAACCCATAGAGCAACCAATGGGAGCCCTGCCACCCAGATTATGAAAGTTGGAATAGCCTCCACAGCTATCCATGTGACATGCTCTTTAGAATAGCAACTATATTTCATATGATAAGTCATTCTGTAATCATTTTCATCTATCTGAGTGCATAGGAACAAAGATAGGGCTTTTAATGTAATAGTTGGATGAAAGAGGAAAATAATGCAGATCATGGAAACCACAATAGCTCTTTTAAAGTTAAATAAACTTTTTCTCTGTTCCTCAGAATCTGAACTTTTTATTCCTTGGATTATCCAGTGGCCTAATTTGATGCACACAAAGGCTAGAGCTACCAGTGCAATCAGAAAAACAGGGAAAAAGATATACAAGAATATCTTGAATAATGAATTAGATGGAGCAAAGGCCTGTATCTCATGATCTCTCACAAAGCAATCAAATGATAGGAAACTTTCGTCTGGTGAAGATACCCTATTTGTGAATGAAAACAAGCCTGTGAAGCTGTCAGGTAGATTAAAGCCAAAAGTAAAGAAAGCTGTGATCAAATGCAAATAATTCGTCAAGATTCTAAACAGAATCGACAACTGACTCTCTTTCTTCTTCCTGAGGTTTACATATATTAATAACATCAAGAACATAAATGCAATTAATGACACGAATATCACTCTGATTGTATTTATCATTGGATCTGGACACTTGCTGCAAATGAAGTTACTCATGGGTTGATACTTTGTACCATCTACTATGTCTCATTGAGTGCATAATATGCCTTTATATCCTTTTGAACATTTCACAGGGGGATCATCATTGTTTGGGTAATACCCTCCCTCTCATGCTTGTTCATTAGGTCACTCAATAATTGTGGATGAGTTAACTGTTTTCCTCCAGTAACCTTTATCAACAATAACTTGATCTTCTCCGCTGCATGATGCAAAGTCCATTCAAGGTGAGCAGCTGGTTGAATTCCATCCAAAAGAATAAGTGGTGGGTTTTCATTCTTCACATTGCTTATTTGCAGTCTGTATTTCTCCTGAGTTACAATATCTATGAATTACAAGCCAAATTTACCTAAAAGAAACTTCTATATAGTTGTCGTACATTCCGTCCGTATGGCCCAAAATTTCATTTAACATATTCTGGTCGATAGCTTTTGAAGTCAACTTGTATTTCACATTCTGTAGCCCAACTTCTCCAATAAATATTAAGTTTGTAAGTTCTGTCTGTCCATTCACTAGTTTACCAAAGTCAGTGCCTTTAATAGAAATCCTGGAATCTTCAATGAGGATCTTGATTGTATTACTGCTTTCCAAATTCATAATCTGGCCATCAAAATCTACTAAGTCAAACTCTAGTTTTTCTTCATATTGGAGTCCACTAGCCACATTGTCAAGCAACACCTTGTTTGTATTTGTGCCTCTCTGTACGATCCTGACAGGATAGCTTGCTATGTTGGGCCCATATTTAGCTACATTTCCAGTATTCTTTATGTTCTTCATTAAGGGCCTGTGCATGTTGTAATAAATTCCTGCTCCTACTTCTGCAGCAGTGTTATTCACAAATTCCAAATCCTGAAATTCGTTAACTCAGGTCTGGCCGAAACTACATTGAATACTAATGGCAGCACCAGATTCAGCCTGATTCTGACTAAAGTTACTTCTAAGGATTTTGGATTCACTTGCTTCAAGCTTAATTGCTCCTCCAAATTTTACACTGAGATCTCCGCAGAGTTCAAATTTGCATTGACCAATAGTCCCTAGGTTTGTTCGAATAGCATTGATACATTCCTTATTCTCAATAAAATCACAGGCAGAAATTGTGCTAACATTGGTATTTAATAAACGTAAGGCTTCTGCATCAGTCTTTACAAATGTGCTATTAAAAATTCTTTGGATTCCACAATCCTTCATATAAATCATCGGGCCTAAAGTAGTCGAGATATTGAAGAAACTTGAGCTAACGATTGAAGTCTCTACTGGGTCTCCTTCATTGTTAAGATCTGTGCTTTTTGAATTTAATAGAGATATCAAGTTGTTTTTGCCCACTGAGATGTGCCTGATGTTTGAATTCTATAAGTAGAAAATTAGCTGAGCAATTATTGTGAGTGAGATACATACCATAAGAGAAACTTGAGATAAGCCAGAGTTTATTAGCTTTCAATTTGAGTCTGAGTAGTCGAGTTGATCGATTTCAGCAAATGCCTTCACAAAAAGTATCAGTTGTTGCGAGTCATCATTGCACGTGAGGTTAATGAAAATAGTGTTGCTCATTTCTACATCTGATTCACTAATACTCAATAGGCTAGAAACAAGAACTGTGTCTTTGAAAATAGGATTTTCCATGAAAATTCTTGATCCAGTAGCATACATCACATATTTTTGCCCGATAAAGTTAGTATCACTAATAGAAAGTCTTGCCATAATCATTTTAAATCATGAGAAAGGGGTCTCTGACTCATAAAGATACTGATTTGCTGCTAAATAATCGCGAAAAGATTGATAAATATACCCTTGAGGCAGTATATTCTCCTTAATCTCTTGCTCAGTGACTCCAAAATTAGAGATAATGTTGCAATTACTGAATATGCTCTCGATTTGTGTTGAAAATAGTTCTGAGACAGCTCCTGCAAGAGCAAAATTATTATAAATAGTAGAGTTGTATAGCTCAAAAATTCCATCAGCATCAGCTCTGAAGACCCCTCCAGAGATAGCAAAGTTGTTATAGAGCGAACATTCATAACACTTGACTCTACTCAGAGATTCACTTTCAAAAACTCCTCCTTCAACAGCTGTATTATTCCAAAAAGTGCAATTCCTCAGGACAGCTATAGCTCTCTCTACTCCAGCTGAAAGCACAGCTCCTTTCGCTGAATTCCCAATAAAGGAGAAATCTGAATTCATAATTTCTATTTCAGCTCCTTTATAGATATTAATCAATGATCTTGCCCTGCCATCTACGTTAGTAGCTTTAATATTTGAGAAGGTCACATGAGTGCTGTTGTAGAATTCATTGGTGTCATATGCCTCCACAGTTATCCCAGCATTTACAGTGTTAGAGATATTTAAGTTAGTCACTAAAGCAGGGCTTGATAACTGCTGCTGGAAATACATTAGCTTAGATTCTAATCCGAAAGTGAGATTAGAGAATACAACATCTTGGATTGAGATCGAGTACGACCCAGGAGTTGCCATTCGATAAATCTTGAATAGCTCCAAAGCTAAGTCTGTTTCTGAATCTTTATAAGTGATGTTTGTGATGCTTAATGATTGGGTGACATTAGTTGCAGCATCAGGCTTAGAGATCAATAGCATTGAGACTGAAGATTGCTCTATAACGATATCTTTGAATATCTGGATGTTATTCGGAGCCGATCCTTCACTGGTATAATCACTCTTAATAGTAAAATGTTCTCCTTGATTTGCAGACTTAGTTCTAAGCACATGGACATTTGTGATATTAATCTGGCTGAATATTCCATAGCCAAGAAGAGCAGCATCTCCCCCTATTATAGTATCATAAAACTTGGCATTGCTTACAACATAAGTACTATCTGATTTACCAGTTGTGAAAAAGACAGCTCTTCTGTTCAAAATTTGAGAGTTCTTGATTTCAAAATTCTTCAGTACAAAACTTGACCCATCTAAGATATTGTTATGAAAAAGAGAGGTCAGATAAGAGCCAGAATCAATCACTCCATCGAACATGAGACCATCAAGCTCGACCCTCTTATCAACATTATGATACGCCATGTAGGGCATGTCAGTAGTGACATTTTCAAAAGTAAGATTCTTGTAATAAATTTCTTTGAGCGATTTCATATTTATTAAAAATCCATCTGTATTCTTGAAATGGAGGCCATCGACATGATAGATCGCATTTATGGTAGACCAGCCAACAAACTGTCCTACAAATTTATTACTGTCATTAGAAAATGTAATATTATTACAATGTATATGCAGGACACCGTCCACAGGAGCTGACTGAGCGAACACTAAATTACTTGTGCTCCCAAATTCAGTACTTTTTCCATCTTCGTGCCTTGAAGATGTGATATGAACATTAGTGAAGTTCCAAGTATTTGACTTAGTAATATATCAATTCTTTGGGTCAAAATAAAAAGCATACTGTCCTGTCCTCGGAAGATATCCAAGGTAACTATCAATATAAACATCCTCGAAATGTAAATCATTAGAGATATGATATCTGAAGAAGGGGAGTGCTCCTTGTAGATAGGATGGCTTTCCTCCAGAATTAATTGCAGTAAAATTTTTAATATAACTCCTTGTTCCCATATCTGTTCCATCAGACCCTCAACTTAGACTAAGTATGCAGAACCTGTATAAGTATTGTGTTTCGAGTACAATGTTTTCCATGTGCCAATTGAAGACAGTGGTGAATGCTCTCAGAAATGATCCATGTATTCTGAGGTCGCAATTGATCATCCCTAAAACTCTTTGGTCAACTCTGTATGGCTCAAAAATCTCATGATCACGTGGTTGGTCTTCATAGTCAGTTACCACTCGAAAATTTTTGATGATCAGCCCTGCATGCAAGGGTTTGAACAAGGCATTTTGAACTAGAAGTCCTACTTTATCATTGGAGTCAAAACCATTATTGTCAAATAGCATCTCATCTGTCTTGAAAGTCTTGCCACCTAAAAATGAGAAAGATGTTTACTTAGAATATTAAACTTTGTTGGAAATGCTGCACCAATGACTTTGGAACTTTCTTTAATTCCGACCATTCTAGCAATCCCTAAAGTATTGCCGTTATCGTTATAGGCTTCAATCTGCACATGCGTGATGTTAACGAAATAAGTCACAGTATTGATAAACATTGTAGTTCCTTCCATCACATAAATAGTGATGTTTCTCTCACTATGGCTGTGGAAGTTCATAATTTCTATAAAAGCAGAGTCTATATGCTTATAAGGGTGACCCCTAGTGCCTAATTCAACAGGACTCCCACTGTTGATATTCACATAGTAATCAAAGCTCCTACAGACTGGAATATTATGCAGCTGTGGGTCTTGGATGAGTATTTGAGTGCTGCTATCTCCTTCTATAAGTTGTCAGAATGAAAAATCAATAAATCAAAAATCCTCAAAATACCTGAGCCACATTCTGTTACACATTGCATAGTATCCAAGTCTAAAACCTGACCAGTTTGTCATTCAAAGCAGTGGCTTTGATATGCTCAAGCGCGGCTACCTAAATTTTGGTTAAAAATGCATCAAAAATAAACCTTACAGCTATCTTCACAGTCTACACATCCCTCAACTGAGGCAGAGTAAAACTGCCCATCTGGACAGTTTTTGTAATCACACAAGCCTGTCGTTTCTATACCAATGCATTAAAATTTTAAGGGTCTTGAATGACGTCTTAAGCTGATTGCATTTTTAAGTATCAAATAAAACTACTATGAAATAAATGAGATTCTTCATGAAGCTCTAGCTCAAATTAAAAATTAAGCACAGAAAGACTCAAGTATTAAAAGAGGTATTTCAGATAACTTGTGATCCCCACAAGATCCTTAGTCCCTCCTGGTTTTAGTTAGTATGATGCTATTTTATTCAGCAGGAAAGAGGTGGTAGGAGAAAATGAAAGTTTTATATTTAGCTTAAAGAGACTGAGAAATTAATAGAGCCTGAAAGGAAAGTTTATCCAATTGATTCTTATGAATAATTGTTTGAACAATTCTGATAGAAAAGAATTAGTACCATTATGAACAAAGCCATCATTACAACTGCTTCATTGCCCGAAGACCTCTCACTGCTTGCAAGAGGCATGGCACTGGAATCACTGGCCGTACTCTTCAAATTCTCCAAGGTTTCAGGTCTGGCCCTTGACCAGGACTCCTAGGAAAAAGCTTCATAAAAGGCTGAGACTAAAGGTTTTAAAGCGAACGTTCATTTTTAATTTTATCTGAGAAAATTTATATTAATTTAAGACTTTTGATGATTTAATAGGAAATTTCAAGAAGAAATTTGTATGGGGTTTTGGGGTTTTGGGGTTTTGGGGTTTTGGGG